GAAAAACTTGCGGAAAATTGTTTGCGGAAATAAGTATTAGAAAAGTCGACGAAGAAGTCAAGTAAAAGTGCCACGAAAAGATAAGTTGTAAGAACGATTGCACAGAAGGTTGAGTTAGAGAAAGTCAAAAACTTGTACAAAAGCCAAGGAAGGTAAATAACGTGTTGGAATTGTTTAAGTGGTCGCTGCGGTTGGCAGACAAGGCTTATATCTTTTTAAAAATGTATTGAAATAAGATATAATAAGCAAGATAACTAAAACTGAGATTGAACAGTGTAAGAAAACATTTTTTAATATTAGGAGTAACTCTGAAAATTCTCAAAAAAATTAGAACTAACTAGAAGAAGGATACAATAAAATATGTTTTTTCATTTTAAGGCAATACCATTTAAGCATACCTTTAGGCGTTCGAACAACTCTACCAATGCTTTTATTAAAATCAATAAAACTAATTGGCAAAGCGTATAAATATTGTTTGTTAAGCATTTACTTAAGCTGTAGACAGCTTCGAATAAAGCTGGCTATCCAATTGCGTAAACATAGTCGGTCTATTTAGCCATTTTACTCTACTTCCATATTTTCTAACCCAAAAGCTAATCAGCATAAAAGTATTTTACTTAATGTATGAATAAAGTTTCGCTATAAAAATTACTTTTAGTTTATTCGTTTATATTTGCATTATATTATCATTTTATATTTGAATTTTGAAAAATTCTTCTCGCATACCTTTTTACTACATATGCTGCGTTTTGTTTTGTTCACCACAGAAAAATGTTCCCACTTTGAAGCGGTTTTGTTGGGTTATATTTATATGAATTTGTATATGTTGGCTGCTTGTTAACATTTCGCATGCTTTTAGGCGGTTAACCGCGCTGCTAAAATGCAAATGATCAACACACTACTATATTTAATTGCATTCGCGTATTTAAGCATATCCTTTTGTCTACTATATCCATTACTAATGGCCCATGAATTTTAACAATATTTTTATTAGTTATAAAAACGTTTAATAACGCTTTGAAGTAAAAAGTATTGCACACTTTTGTGTGGTTGGAATGTTTCGCACTGCCATTTAATAATAACTGATAAGTGCGCTGTACTTTCTGAGTAATTAAAATATCAAAGTTAAATTTATGATATTTGAAAACTATTTAGAATGCTTTCATAAGGATACAATTCGTAGTATTTTTTTCTCAGTACAGTATAAACATACATTTTAAAGTGAAATAATACTAATTTTAATGTATTTAAAATTTCGGAGTAACTCCGAACTTCATTTAGTTTATGCAGTAACGCATATATAATATTTGATCTCAAATAAACAACACTCTGGATCTATATTTTAGGAGTTTAATAAATATTTAACTTTTCGGAGTAACTCCGAAAAACATGAAAAGCATCTCTGATTAATTGCGAGTGATAAACTTAGAAAATAAAGTTTTTTAACTAACACTCAATGTAACAAGACTTTCATATAGCGCTCAGGCACTAAAATCGAAATAAAAGTTTTGTTAAAGTTGCTACTTAGTTCTTTCACAAAATTTATATTTTTATTTTTATGTGTGTGAGCTCGACAAGTGTTAAAAGTGTGAATAACATCGCACTCACAACATAAACATACATATGCCTGTACGAATATATGTATGTACATACATGTCGGTTATGTATGTAGATAAACATGTCAATAATTTAACTAGAGTCCTGGTTTCAAGCAAAATTTCCGAGTGCTTAAACACATATCGTTTATTTGGCCTGTCAGTGGTTTTTGCCCAATTTGTTATTGTAGAAGGTTTCTGCTATATGCTCTATTGTTATCCTTTAGTACATCATAAAAAATGTACACCCTTTTCAATAAAGAAGCAAAGCAAATATTTCCAGTTGACATTAGCACCCCTCAAAGTACATCCATACACAGCTGTTGTTGGCAGGGTTGATGAGAGCCAGAAAATACACATTTGTGAATACTTGTGTGCTGAAGAGCCTTTTTCGGTGGACATAATTTGTTGTTAGGTTAGCGAAATTCTAATAAAATCAAACGCGACACATTTAACCTGTACGTAATTTTTGGTTTTTTTAGTTCATTTACGAAAGTTTTACCCATTTTTTATTGTAACTGAATATGTTTCCATAAAAATATAAAAACTGGGGCTAAACAATTTCAAGTTTTAATAATATTTATCCACCATCGGTATTTCGCCTCGGTTTTCAAGTGCTTATGACACTTAACGACAACTACAGAAGCTTTTACGCTTAAATGTATGCTTGTAGGTTATAGCAAACATTTGCTGTATTACATGCTTGGCTAAACCGAATTGCGTGAATGAAAAACACACGAAGTGTTGCAGATAAGTAGGGAATTTTTGGAATAAAGCTGAGATATACTATTTTTATTTCAATGCATTAAAGTTGAGTACAATGCCTTGTAAAAAGTAAAAAAAATGTATAATTGGTCAAGTATAAAGACAAAATGAAGAAAATTGTTGATTTTAGTTCAATAAAATGGAAGACGTTTTAAATAATTTGTGGAATGATCTCAGAGTACGGTTGAAGTGTGCAAAATGAACTACAAAAATAATTAGCAAAAGCTTTGTAATTAAACCGAACACATATCGATTTTTAGAGTAGCTCCGAGTTTTTAGGAGGTGTTCGGACTAAATTAGGAATATTTTTATACATACAGACGTAAAAATATGGTCTTTTTTCTTATCCATGTAGATAATTATAAAATTTTAAGCAATTGTTTTCAAGAAATTTTCGAGCAAAGTCTTTTTTTACTACTAATTTTTTTTAAGAAGTATTCAATAAAGTTAAAAATGTATTTTTTTTACCTTATTAACAAACCCATTTATCACAATCTTTTTTGCTAGCACCTAATTTTCTTAATACAATTTTCTTGTTCCACATTTTTGTTTCGTTTATATTCACTATCACTCCCTTACACTTAATGACATTTGTCATCAACAAAACATGTTCCTGCTCTTTTTTTTGCCTTGCAATATGGTACGTGATTTTTTCTATTCTCTAGTGCGTACGACAGCTGTGCAATTTCAATTTACTTGTAGTGAGGACACGTACTAAATACAGTAAGGTAAGTAGCACGTAGCATACTTCAAGGCGCATGTACTTCATAATATCAGCACATCTTCACACTACATTTTGCCACTTAGAGATTTCGGTTGTCATGTAAGGCTACACATATATACATAGAGAGATTGTTTTTGTTGTTGGATAGAATTCAAAAGCAAGAAATATTTTGATAAAGCATATAACTTAATGAAATAAAAGGGGATTTGAAATAAAAAATGTAGATATAAATTAGTTGTTGAGTTGATGAAACAAATTGAAGTCTAAGAATTCGAAAAACATAACTATCTATATAAAGGTATATAATAGCGTTGCTATCCATATTGAACACATTAAAGCATATTTCTTGTTCCGAAACTAGAGAAGTGTATACATTATTTACTTTTTGGCTATTGAAGTTATATTTAGCTTATTGAGTTTCTTCTTCGTATAGTAGATAATTCACATGTAGGTTGAAAAAAATATTCGTTTAATAAAATATATGTTTATTCTTTTTCTTTTCAGTTATATTTGAAATTACCTGCAGTTCAAAAGAATATTAATAAGGCGATGGGAATATTTGTTATGAAGTTGATGCAGTTGCCTGATAAGGTTTATATATCTTACAAAACACATCCGGAAAAAATAGTTTTCTTAATTGTACGCAACAATTTTATATGTTCGAAGTACCTCCTAATTTTTGTGATAACTAGAAATGGTTGGAATTAATTGAATATAATAAACTTGAATTAAACTTCGAATTTTCGGAGATTAATTGAATAAAATAAACTGAATTCATACATTTAAGAGTTACTTCGAATTTTCGAAACTAATTGGAAATTAATTTAATATAATAAACTGAATTATTACGTTTCGGACTAACTCCGAATTTTCATAGTAATTAGAATTTATTTAACTGAATTTATAGCTTCCGGAATAACTGCGAATTTTCGTAGTAATTGAAAATGAATTGGAAATTCATTGACAATTAGTAAATTGAATATAGAAAATGCAGAAATAATTTGGTATTAGACAATGTGTGTAATTAAAAAATATTATATTTTTCAAAACTCTTAAATAACTACTTTTAAAATATTTTATTTTTACAACAAACTTATGAGAAGTTAAAATTTTTTTTGGAAACCTCATTGCTTTATTTTTTAATTTAAACGTTTTAATGTTAAACCCTTTAAAAATTATTTTAAGTATGCTAAATGAGTTTGAATAAATTGTATACAATATATTTGACAGATATGAAAGATTTTAAATTTTGATTATTTGTTATTGTCTACAATTTTTCTTAATTATAATATAACAAAAGCATAACTTTAAAGTTAGTAATATTGAGATTATAGATTCTTTTATAATATCTCTTTTTTAAATTTTTATTTACTTTATCTTCAACTTTGAATTTATATAAATATGTTTTAAAATTGGATATTATCAGATTTGTTTTGAGAAGTTTTCTAAAACCTTGAAGAAAGCCATTAAAATATAATTTTTTTATACAATATTAGCTACTTTTTCATGCAAAAAATTTTAATTTAATTCAAAAAGTTATAGTATTAACTTTTTTTTTTAGTATTTATTAATTATAATTAATATTATTCCCAACTTAATTTTTTATTTTATTTATATATACAATTTCAAATATTTTATAAATTTGTTTTTAGTATTTTATATAAACTTTTTTAACTTTATGCCAACAAATCTTTAATAATTATTTCATAATATAATATTAATTTCTTCCTGGTTTTATGTTGTTTCTTTACATTTATTTTATATTATTTGTTACTGTTTATTTTTTCATATTTGGTTTAAATTATACATTAGACTAAGGTAAGTCTAGATAAATATTTAACAAATTTTAAAATAGAAAAATTGAAATTTTTCAAAATTTAAATTTTAACATAAAAATAAAAATCTTTTGTACTCACAATAAACAGCAATGATTTCAGCGACATACTTTTTCCCGATTATTTAGTTTATGGATAAAATTGTTTTTACTGAAGAGAAACTGGTTAAAACGCTGAGAAAACACAGTAAAAGTTTGAAATATTTTGTGGTTGCAAAATATAATATCCTCGCGTATTATCCTTTGATATCTGAAGCTGAAGAGCTTGTTGTCAGTTCTGCACTACACTTTGTAAAGTATATTTTTCACTAGTCGCACGCTATGAATTTCTTTAAAAATATTTCGTTTTATTGCTGCAACAGCTGATAAATTACACCGAAAGTATATATAATATTTTTTTCCAATGAATTCTTTTTCAATTTCGACGTTTTTTCGCAATTTTCCTTTACCGGGTTCGCAACTTGAATCTTTTGTTTAGCGGCACTGCTACTTTTTAGTACACACGATCGCTATGAATTAGGGTTCCACACGACGATGCAACGCTATTTATAACGACAAACGACCGACAAAGTGCCCCAGCACCAGCGCGCTGAGGAGAAGCGCAGCAGCCGACACAGAGATGGCAGCAGCGGCGGTGGCAGATGAGCGTCAACGACTAAGCCATAGCAGATGTGGGGGAAAAATGCGAAAAAAACATCAATAAGCTGCTTGAAATGGGCGCGCGTTGCCAACTAGCTGTAAGAAACCATACCTACGAGATGTTGTAGAGAAGCACCAAAACAAAAACAACAACAACAGCAAGAATGTAAGTTGCCTTAGTAGTGACTGATGATGACTCGGCTTGACTTGACTTGGCGGCAAAGCTCACTCATCTTCATAGCTCCGGTGAAGCTAACTACAATAAGCAACTACAACAAAACTGCGCTATAACAATAAGCAGAGCAATAACAGTTGTACAATGCCGCGCTTACATATTAGCAGCAAATAAATGAAATGAAAATAATTGAAGTGTTGCTTGAGCTTCAACAGCGGCAACTAGCAAGACAAGCAAAAACAAAACCAAAAAACAATAGCAACAACAACGAGCAGCGACAAACAGCTTCAAACAAAAATTACAAATAAGCAACAACAACAGCAAGTGTAACAAAACGCCAACAGCGAGCATGAGCGCACATGTTAGCAGTTAGCTACAACAAAAATGACAACAACAGCGCAAATTATAACAACAACTAGCAGTTCGTGAAGGCAGCTGAGGCATCTCACCGCCAAATGTTCACATGGTAGGTGCGCTCTTCTTTTCTGACTACTTCGCAGCGTGCAGCGAACTGTTTGCCGTCGACTGCGCCGGTCGGCAGCGACGTTGGCAGAGCTGTTATCGTGCAGCTGCGCAGCGAACACCGTTAAAGCACCGTTCGTTTTTCAAATAAACCGCTGTGCTTATTTAAATGTATGAGTGTGTGGTGTAGGGGTAGGGGTATTTTGATTCAAGCACATACACACACACACACATTAATGCATACCAACACACACACAAGCCAAATCGCTACAATTGATCTTCTAGATCAGCATTGTTGTGAGTAGTAGTAGCGAAATATTACAACAACAACAATCGTCAATTTGCTTCCAAATTGGCATCAAAAACTTGGCAAACACACCTACAACAACAAAAGAAACCATTTTTGATTTTTTTCTATAAAATTAATTCACTAACAATGGCAAACATCGCATATTCCACTCAATCTCTTTGCTGAGCGCCAACTACAACAACAACAACACAGGTTTTTGTTAGATTCCTATAGAATTTGCATCAAAGGCAACTGCTATGGATCTACTGATCGCATCACTTGCTCGCACAATGCACATACTTTGCCTATAACAATGGCAGTGTTGCCAACTATTTCTTGTGCAACAAATATTGCATGTGCATTTATACATATGTAGTATGTTAAATTAAATTATTCTTGCATGTTTGCGTACAGAAATTTACATATTTTAATATTCTATTGCACGGCATTGCACTCCTACACTTACTCTGCATGATGCTTGATATTCTTAGCTCATCATCCGCTAACTGTTCTTATTTGCGTGCGCTCTTTTTATTTTGCTCACTGTGCGTCATAATGCTCTTTCTCTCGCGGGAATGCCAATTAATTTTTTTATAAATATTACACTGTTCGGACTCTGTATGCAGCGCAAGTCCTTGAAAGCCCATATTTATAGCGATACTCAATTAACTTGGAATATGTAAAGATTGTTTTACGTTATTTTTTTGTTGGATATTATGAGAACACGTACAGTTTTTCGAGCGCTGTATTGTTTTATTCGAATGAGTTGACTGTATGGAAGTTTTTTGGCTTTGCGTTTAAAGTATATAGGTGGCTTAAGTATGAGCTGAGTAAAAATAAAAAATTTTGCAGTGAATTTAACAAAAAAAAACATTTTAACAAAACAATTTTAATTACATAACTAACTTTTCAGGTGGTGGATATTAAGAAGACAAAAACAAAAACACATTTATACCAAGTCGCTAAAAATTAGATTCTTAAAAAGTGTTTAACATACATCCTGAACATAAGGATACATTCGTAGTCTAATCCTAAATATAAAACCTTTTTTAACTTATCTTACAGAAAATGTTGTTTCACTATTTCTATAGAACTCTTTTAAACGATCTTTCGACCTCATTTCGAATAAAACTGTATGAAATTCGTTAATTCCATAATAAGAAAGCCTTCAGAACTCTATTCTAATATTTTTATGTGGGTTCTAATATAATGACAGCATCTAAAGAGAAGAGTTTGTCTTATTTATTGCCAAGTTTCTCCTATGATCTGTGTTAAAAACGGCCCATCCTTAGCGGACATATACATATACATTTGAGTTAAGAAAAACTGTTTAAGGAAATCTGTTCCAAATTATAATTAAGGCCGCCAACTTCTATATCAGTGTCGTTAAAAGATAAGTGGGGTTATGGTAATAATATTCTCCTCTGCTAAGTTTACTACCAAAAATGCTTTCCGAGTAGTGGAAGATTGGTGGTCGCTCTAAAAAGCTGCTGCTTTCGATACGTGTCATGGTATCGATACTTTTATTATTATTAAAAGTGTACATATATTTCAAATTAAATGGTGGGTACAGTTTTCTACTGGGAACACCATAGTAATGACTATTTGACTAACTGTTAGTTATTGCTGACAGTGAAAACTTATCTAAAACACTTAAATTCGAGCTGGGAGCACTTGAAAAGGCAATAAACAAAGTAGTAGCTTTAAAATTCACTCGACAACAGTTTACAAAATTAAATCGAACTAAAAATCTAAATTAAATAAGCATAGATAACCAGATATGGAAGTTATAAATATCGTGTAAAGCTTCCTTTGATATAGAAGAAATACCCGAGCACGTAACTAATGCCTACTTATTTATTTTTATGTTGTTTGAATACATTTCGTTTTCCCCAAAAAACGTTATTTGTCATTTAGTACATATAATAATAAAAAAGACATTGTCATTATCGCATTAACTACATGGCTCTCTCATTCATTGAGCGTCATCCGCAATCACCCACAACGCAAGCGAGCATTGACAAATGAATTGTGCTTAATCGCCGTCAAATTGTTGTAACTACTACTTTAATATACGTATAGGTTTGTAATAATACATTTTAAGTACTTACGTATGTAATTATACGGCATTTTATAAGTTATTATGCATGTATCTGTAAGTGTGAGTATTGAAAATCTACCGGAATTCCAACGATGCGATCTGCGCATGCGCACTCATTCAGATCTGCTGTTGTTGTTGTCGTTGATTTCGTTTTGCTTTTCTTTATTGCATTGATTTTGCATGTTGTCACCTTGTTGTTGTTGTTATACCAAACGGTTTTTGTTGTGATTCCCATTACAAATCGCATTGTTGTTGGTGTATTTGTCATGTTGCACTGTCTAGCGGTCGAATTGTAATTTTTGATGCTGTCGCTGCTTTGTTGCTGTTACTCTTGCCTTTGTGTTTTGTTTCCCAACAAAATATGTTGATCGTGACTTAACGGCGCTGACGGCGACGGCGTTAAGTTTGTGGTTTAATGATAATAAGGAGGCTGTTGATGATTGAGATGATGTGAGAAATGCTGCTAACGGTGTTGCGGTGTAAATTGGTGAACCTTTTTTATTGAAGTAAAAGAAAAAGAAAATCAGTTAAAGTTAAATTAATAAATGAACTTTGATGAGCGCTACAAAATATAGAAAAATATAAAAAATATTCTTGGAGTGGCAACGCTCATTTAATCTTTTTCAAAACTGTCTGAAAACACGTGTGTAAAATATTAGCTTTGATTTCGAAATGGTTCAAAAGATACTTCAAGTAATAGACAAGCGCGTCGATCACGTGTTAGTCGCTTATTAAATCCATCATCTCAATCTCTGTCTAATTCAACTTTAATTTTGTAAAATATTAAAAAATGTCTTATGTGAACCAAAGATGTTTATAATTATTCTGATTCCTGTCATTTTATAAGTGAAATTATGCACAAATCTTACGTTAAAAATCGATTTTAAATTTCAATCATTGGAAAAAATTATTAAATTTTAGTTTCCAATGGCTTTCTGAGGTTCACATAGAGTGAAAAAGCTACTTTGCACACCAGTGGACGGTATCAAGTGTGACGTGTTCCGCAGAAACATGGATTCCTGCCGCATTTTTCTACATTTTTGAGTGGTTCAATCAATAAAAAAAACATTTAAATATGTACCAAAATATACTTTTTAAACGAACTTTCCACATTGTTTTTATTCTATAAATAAAAATTCAAAAAAGCGACTTTTTTCTAGCCTCTAATTGATCCGAGCCCCTAAAGCATATAGTATACAAATTATTTACATAATTAAAAAAAAAACTGTTAATTTAATTATTACTAAAGCCTCATCTTTATCCATCCAACATTCAGTTGCCAAAAACAGTGGTGCCTAACCGATTTTAATAATTACACTTTTCTTAAATATATAACTCTTATTTAAGCGGAAACATGTCGAGACACCGTGATGTTTTTGTGAATCAAATTTTGAAATCAAATTGATTGAATCCTCTACCGGTTGAGTACCCTGGCTCTAAATAATATAACTTTTGAAATACGAGAATGTGTTGAAAAACAGTGTTGCGATGGCTGATGGTCTATCTATGCAAGTTTGGCAACTTAAAATTGGTGCTTTAGCTTAGATTTTGACTTACTTTACAAAGATGGAATTACAATTTGGAGCTCGGGAACAGATATATGACAAATTGTGAATTATTTTTAAACTATTAGAATTAAATGGTGGATCGTTTCCAAACTTTATATCAGAACAGAAGTGTATACTTGACTATTAAATTTAAAAGGGTCAGTGTAGATAATTTTCGAACTATATATGAGAACAGTTTTTTACTGAGAACATTTTAGTGCAAATTTGACCGTTTTTCAAAGGCTGTTAATATCTAAAAATATTTGAAACACTATTACAATAGGATTGGGAAGATTTATCTAGGTGGGAA